AAAAATTTTAGAATTTCATAATTTCTCTGAAATAGCAGAACTAATCAAATCTTTTTGAGTAAATAAAGAATGAACTTATGCCAAAAAAAAGAAAAAGGTTAAAAATAACTCGTTCGTTTCTGGGAAGCAGTTAAAATCCGAATTACAGTTACCTTCTTTAAGAAACGGAAATTCGTGTTCCCAAGGTTGGGCAAGAACGAGACCGTATATCAGTAAAGTCAATATTCAGAAACGCGTAATGTTTGCTAAAAAAATACATTCACCGTTCTTTATATTTTTCGAGGACCGTCTTATTTACCAACCAGTCGAAAATTTTGAATTACGTTCGTATAAAAGAAGAGAATACATCCAGAGACACGTTTAAACATAATGAAGTTGTATCCACTGTTTAACACGAGATGAGTCCATATTTGTCTACGAATATTTCTTCATTTTTATTTCATTCATGGAACATTAAAACACTTTTTTTTTTTTGAAGAAATAGAGGTTAGGAAATACTACCGTAACGCCGCCATATTGTAAAGAAATTAAATGATGTAATACTTTCATATTCTCTAAGGATAATGTATAATAAGGTATAATATATAACAAAGCCCTCGTAAAAAATTTTCGATAAAGTCAATTATTTAAAAAAAAAAAAATATCAAAATTAGGTATCATTTTCAGACCTTAACCTCTTCAAGAACACAGACACATATGTGAAATTTAGTTTTTCCAAAAGTTCCAATATTTGCGACAGAGAAGACCTAAAAACTATAATCTCCCAACAAGGAAAGCAATATAAATGCAACTAAATAAGAAATTAGATCACTTTTTCTAACTTTCAAAAAATCCTCCCTCAAGGGGTTGAAAGTGATCTAACCCCTAAATGCTTTAATTTACGACTTATTTCTTCCTCCGACTATACTTCGATGCCTGACTGATTTTACGACCTCGCTACATCGCTTCCTCCGACTGTAACTTTTCATTCTTTCGTTTTATCCCCGACGTGACGATACATGCAAGTTTAACCAAAAAGAGAACGAGGGAAAAAGCACTTTCGAATATAAGCAACCACGGAGATCTTTATTGGTGTCTAGTACGAAAGAACGCGAGGCGAAGAGATAGCTGCCCAGGCATAGAGAAGCGCATAAACGAATACAGAGGGGAAGCTATTGCCGAGTGTCACGAGGAATACAATCGAGTACAGAGAAAGAGGGACGTGCATTAGTATTCGAACGCGAGAAGAGCCACGATGGGAAACTCACCTACCGGCGTGCCTCACGTTCGAGTAACTCAGAACACTGACACATTCGCTGTTGTAACGAACTGCCGTGGAATCGTAAAGCCTATATCCCGTGAATTGCTTCCGCCTGCAGCACGTAATATAAATATCGTTTGCCATTCGTTCCACGTTCAAACGCACGAGCGCATTGTTTTTCTTTGATAGATCGACGAGCGAAGAAGGATCATGGCTGTTGCGCTACTCGAGAAAATTCAATTACGCCAGCTCACTGCGGTTTCTTTTTTTCTTAGCAACGATAAACACTTCGTTTGGGAAATGGCTCAATTAGAGCGGATTAGAGCAAATAGTATACTTTTTTTTTTCTATACATTGAATACCCAAAAAAAACAATAAAATGTCTATTTCACAGAAATTGTGATTAAAAGTTTCAGTTTATTTTTCATTGTTTATTTAGTGTAATTTATGAAACTTGGGATTTTTGAACCTAAAAGACAAATGTTTATTAGACTTTTATGTTAAAATATTTATTTCGTAGAAATTGTGATTAAATGTTCTTGTTTATTCTTTTGTCATTAATTTCGTTTACTTTTTGAAACTTTTAACTGTATGTATTTGTCTTTATTTTTATGTTTACAATTTTTCATTTATTACTATCTCTCATTATCGTCTGAAAAATTACAAAATTTCACATTTGTATTTCAAACTTTTGAAGAAAATTTCAAGAGGGTATTGCTCACTTTATCAGAGAGGATATCAAGGTAAACTGATTCCAAATGAATCCGGTTTTAATATTTGTAACAACGATATCTGATCTTATGAAATACTCTTTTCTTATTGTTAGATAAGTATCTATTCACAGCTGCGAAGTAATCTGTCATTATAATTTCTAACAGATGGTAGGTGCGTCCTAGAAACTATAGTAATGGGGAATCAAGATATATGTCCTAATTCACAACTGACGAATAGATGTTTAGTATTTCTTAAAGAAAGGTATGGGACTGTTTTCGAAGAAACTCTGCAGCTTCTGATATACAGGGTGGGTCACGTAAAACAGGTCACCTAATTGTCTTCTTTAACTATAGTGGTACGAGGAAATTTTTGCACGTAATTTAAATGGTTTCAAAGGAAGATAAATTTTTTTTTACAAATTCCACTTTTTCTGTTCTTTTTTTTTTTCAAAGTCATCCATGGTTTTTTACCTGAATGTACAACGACCTTGAACTCTAAAATTTTACGCCAAACGTGAAGCTTCCTCTCATTTTTCGCCGTTTCTTCCATTAGAAAAATTTGTCTTCCATCTTATTCGCCATGTAAAACCATTTAAATTATATGTAAAAATTGCCCACAAAATTCATTCGAATAACGCCTAAAACTGGCACACGTGTACATACAGTAAGTCAAAAAAGTATCGTTACACCCTTCAAAACAGAATAACTTTTTTTTTTAATTGAACCAAACGACTTAAGCTTTTTCGAGAAGTCTCTAGATAACTTACAAAAAAAAATTATAAAAAAATTGCAAATGGTTGAAATGGTTTTCACTGCTGAAAATTAAAAAGAAAAAACACGTTCTGTAGCTTTGTGCCAGTTACGTACATGCTGAAAATTTCATCGAAATCGGTGCACGCATCGAAACCTGTGAGGATCTTTAGATTTATTATACAGTTATAAGCAGAAACTCCTGAAAAATTGCGATGTTCGTCATTTTTAACCATTTGCAACTCACAGCAACGTTAACCAATTTTTTTTTCACCCGCTGTATATACCACGATTTGCCTATAACGTACGTCGAGGACGTCGAAAAGCGCCTACTCTATGTGGAAACGGTCGATCCTCGATCGTCGACCGTGAACCTCGTCGCCAGCAGAAAGACGACGATGTCGAAAGAAAAACGAGGCTCCCTCGCAAGAGCACGCCAGGTACGCACACACGCGCGTGGTCTGCGTATGCCAGGTGCGTAATCATTTCTAATGAAACGTTGTCATTTAACAGTGCGATTGTAAGAGCGCAGAAACTTGTTTTCACTTGCGCGAAAAACGGCGACCGTTAATGCAGCGGTAAAGACGCCTCTCCCGTTACAGCATTGCGCGAGCACGGTATATACGCGCGGGGAACACCTTCCTTCAACGATGCTCACTTACGCGTTTACGTGTCGCACAGATTTTCTGTCCTTCTGCTGTTCGAGAGAGTCGCGCGTTCGAAGTAATACGCCCAAAGACCGTACACTTACGAAGAAGAATGCACGTAGCCGGTGTGTGTGTGCGCAAGGCAGCGCGATTTCTAGAAATCCACAGGACAAACAACCCTTAATCTCCCACGGTCTACACGCCTGCGATCTTTTTTCTCCATCTTTTTGTCGAGATTCTAGGATATTCCGCTGTTGTAAATCGCGACATCGCGTTACACGTGAAAACGCCGTGTACATCACCGTAACGAGGACGTTGCGGTGTTTTGTTTGCCATGTGTTAAGGGGCCGAAAATTTCGGCGATATTCGAGATTTTTTTTCTCGGTGTCCATAACGAGTAATTATGTCAAACCTGTTTTCATTCATTAACATACTTATAGAGCATACGAAACAATTTTTTAAATAGCTTTTCGATTGTTTGTTTAATACTATATCTTAAGGTAAAGATGGCGCTTTTAAAAAAAGAGATGCCTCGCTGTCGAAATTTATTTTAGCTCACAGAATCATCCAAAATGAAAAAGTCGAGAAGTTTTTTAATCAGTATGAACAGCGCTATTTCAGGTACCAGAGTTAGGTACGTAAGTCAAAATTGAACAAAATGACGCGCATTCAAAGTTCAAGTATCGAAGTTTTCCATTTTTCTAAGTTTTGCAATGTAAAAAAATACGAAATTTTCAACGTAGAAGTGCAAAATCTGGTAGCTGCGAGAGCCCATTGTATGTGGAATAACGTGTTAAAATTTCAGACCAACTGGCAGATTAGTTTTTTTTAATTCACTTCCATCAGTTGAAAAAAAAAAACGTTTCAAGAAAGACGCGTTTAAAGTTGGAGTATTAAATCTTACGATACACCTCTGCACTTACTGCACTGTACAGTTACATTAAAAAGGGTTACACTACCACATTATTTCAGGTCAGAAAGGGTCTCATGAAGGAATAGCACAATAGAATCAAGTAGAAATGATCTCGATAGCACAGCTAACTATAAAACCCTATAAAATCCACAACACTTGAAATTTTCCTGCAAAAATTTACCAGTACATTCTTCAAGATTCGTACTTTCAAAAAACCCAATTTTTTCAAACCCTATTTACAGAACGACCCTAACTAATCGCGTGATATATCCGTCATCTAATCTACCTTACTCACAAAATGTCTATTTACTTATCCTCCGTTCATAACTAGAAATTTACGATCGAGGAAGAATGCAAAAGGCAGACGTGCAACAGTAGTACACGATAAACGTAATGGTATAATCGTGGCCGTTGAATGAAAATAAAGATATGGAGAAACGTGAAATTACAGAGAGAACCGGATAAGCCTCGTTATTCAGGGGCTTGTTCAGGAAACGTAGCCGTGGAAAAGTGTCTTACGTCGAACCGGTGTTGTCGTTGTTGCTCTCTGCGAAATTTACATCTTCTCTCGTTCTTTTCTCATCCTTACCAAAGATCTCGAGGATCGAAATTTTTCGTTGTACAATACCTTTTGCTCGATACTTCGTACGAATCATCTTCAAGCGATCTACACACGATAATCGACGTCTTGTATCGGGTGTGCATACACGATCACAACTTCACGATTCGCGACAGGTTACCAGAATGCACAGAGTAGCATAGCAATTTCCGAGAATCCTTTTGCGCCGTAACTCGAATGTTTTGCTTAGATTAACGCAAGACCGATGCAAATTCCACCTGTTAACTACGTCGGCGAAGATGTAACAACGTGTCGTGAAATCTTAATCCTCCGGCATGTGTAATTATCGGTAATTTTATTGGATCTTAACTGCAGTTTTGTTACTACACCGGAGAATAAGCAAAGATCCTATAAGAAACTTTACACCTTTGGGACGAACGCAGTGGTTAAAATTTTCAATTAGAGAAGCATTTCTGTTGTATTATACGAGTTTGCTTGGGCGTTGCACAATCTGTTCTACAAATAACTGGTAGCGAGGTAAGTTAACCAATTAGAAGCGTGTAGAATTTTCTCGATTAATACACACAGACGGAAATACACGTTCGATGGAATGACTCTAATCTCGAGCAATATTGTTAGAAGAATTACACGGCGATGGGACTTTATAAGCTTTGTAATTAGCCTTTTTTCCCCCCCATTCGTGAATAACATTTACGATATTGCTCTATTGATTATCAGAGCGTCACTAACATCGTAAAAATTTCATAACGGTTATATATCTAGGTAACTATACCGCAACTCCTACCCATCCTGTTATTCAATCAAATTCGTTTAACGTTGGCGCACTGTGTCGTGGGATTTTATAGTTAACCGCGCATCCGCCAACACCTCCACTATGTATATAATTGTCTCGCGAAAGTAACGCCCGGTTTAATGGCGAATATACAACTCTTCGGGGAAGTTTCGCGATTAACGATAAGCGATGCCCGAAATGTACGAAATGATTGTAAACGGTCGTCAAGTTCGATTGCACGAGCACACACTGTGGGGCAATGAAATTTTTATTATGTCCAATTCGAGAAGGTGCACGAACGCGAAGACAGGAAAGTGCAAGCGATTACGGCGATAAATTAATCTGATATTGAGGATTGTGTGTTTGATTGTTTAATAAAGCTTAATTTACGACACTTTAAAGAAGCCCTTAAAATAATTTCCCACTAATTATTGGAGGAATTATGATTTTCTTTTTCTGCGTTTTCTTGTCGATTTATTAAGGTCGTTCGGTAAATCACGTTTTATCACTGCTAACATTATTTTTGGTTTTGTCAACGATCTGTGGAGGAAGCTGGGTCGTCTGTGACCCGTGTTACTTGCGTGTACAGAGGGTTCGCGGAATGCAGGGGTGGGGCGAAAAATTGATTCACCTGGAATATTTCTGGGATTTAGGATAATATGGAGAAATTTTAACCGTTATGTGATTTATGATAATATGAAGAAATGTTAAATGTTACGTGATTTATAATAATATAGAAAAATGTTAGATCTTATGTGATTTATAATGATATGGAAAAATGTTACGAAAATGTAACAATTGTTGCATGATCTATAGGGGGACACAGTGCGATGTATTATAGACACTTTTTACGTGGATAGAGACGTAGAGAAGATTTCAAAATCATCTCTATCTTTGTTTCCTGAGAAATATGGTTCAGTACTTTTACATGAAAATCTGACAAAAAAATTCTCTGATGTATAGGTAAGGAAATCGTATGACGGGGTCAAATATGACCCAGTTCCACTTATCATCCAATATAAATAATTACACGCGAAAAATTTTTTTACAAATCCTATCTTTTCTTCTACTGCACATTAGAAAATTTTATTATAAATAAAATCCGAAACTTCTTTACATTTTACTCAACTCACCCTACACATAAAACACATCGATAAATTATTCTCTGACGAGAAAATCTCCCTCGGAGTACCATTCCACCGACGATTCATATTTTCCGCATGATTAACGACTCACCAAGAAGAACACACCACGTATAATAGACTCATCACCGTATAATTACCCTTTATAATTTCGACTACACGGCAGGTTAATGAAAATCCTTAGGAAGAACGTAGTACCTAACCGGGCATAATACACGCTCGAGCCTACAAAGAGCCGCTAAATTCGCAATAAATTTCGATACAGCGGTCTCGACGAGCGCTAGCCGGGTTGATTTACACGCGTAACTTTCAGGTGCTCGGTTGAATGATATTCGTAGGAAGGCATTCGCGGCTAGTGCCAGCGGTGAGAATGGAGGAAGAGAGGTCGGTGAGTTGAAGACAAGGAAAAAGGAAAAAAAAAAAGAAATGTAACAGCGACATTTGGCCGCTGGAGAGGCCAGAGGGAATGCCAGCCATACAATCCCTCGAAGTGATGTGCGGAAAGGATCACATGGATGTGCACCTCTCGTTCTCCCAACCCTTTGAGGGCATCGTCTCGTCCAAGGGCCAACACGCCGATCCACGATGCGTCTACGTTCCACCGTCCACAGGGCAAACTTTCTTCTCCTTTCGGATAGCGTACGCGAGGTAAGATCGCGAGAGATTTCACTGTTTGACGGTTATTTTTGCGGAAGGATCTTCACGGGCTGATTCGATTAGAGGATTTAGAGCCTACGGTGACGATAATGCGCGAGATTGATTACACTGCACGGTTTATCGCGAGCTCCGTGGAGAATCGCTAACTTGCGAGTTTGAACGGAACTTACGGAGTTTCGCGGCTCGCTGCTGCGACAAAGTGTAATTGGATAAACGAGCGGGATTAGCTGCGACTGTTATATGAATGATTCGTTCATTCTGAAGGAGATTTGCGATTTTTAGAAGCATTTTAGCGTTTCACGAATGTGCGTAATTTACAATCGAAACAGAAGTTATTTATGTCTTTGGTTCAGAAAACTTTGCATTTTTAAGTGAAATGAAATTATTGAAAACTTTTCTTATTTCAGTCGTGTTACTAAACCTTTTTTGCTAACTAAAGAAAAATTCGTACTTTAATCTTGATCTACCTGTCCCACTGTTTTTCACTCGTTAGTCAATTTTTTTTATAATCAAAGAAAAGTTCACAGTAATTTGATCTTGATCCATGATTCACTTTCATGCACAATCTGCCGTTTGATAATAAAACACTCCACCAATCCTGCTATTTTTGCCCAAATTTGATTTTTAAATTAATATATAACAAATGCAAATTTTTGAAAAAAATTCTGAAAATTTCACATGCTTGTGAAATCTGCCATTTCATGTGCAACACCCTCGATTAATAATCTCTATTAATTTACATTATCACCAATGACGAAGCGACAGAGAGGTGACAATTGAACCCCAAATATCGAAATAACCAAATGTATTATCAAACCGATACTCTAGATTCTGTTGGTCTGATCTCAGATGCGGTACCAAGCCAGATATGCACGGACAGTTCTACGAGAATACCGTTGTCGTTCAATACGACAAAGATTTACTCGAGGTCTGGGACGAGGCGAAACGATTGCGATGCGAGTGGTTCAACGATTACGAAAAGACCGCTTCGAAACCGCCGATGGTGATCGCGGACCTCGACGTAATACAGTTAGACTTTAGAGGTACAGTTCCTTTTTTTCTTTCTTTTTTCTTATACACCACAAACGCATTTTTCGCGCGAACGTCACTTTTAACGATCCACCAATCACTTAACATTTATCTGATACGGATGTAATAAATCCTGTCCGCGAACTTCTACATACACTACCGTCCAAAAGTTTCGAATCGTTATTTTGTGCAGTACAAATTACACAAAAATTTCCAAACGAAAATTAGCAATTTTGACAAAATTTTTACCGCTCAAATCGAGGTAAATTACCTCCAAATTCAGGTAATTACTATAAATCTCTACCAGGTGAATTTCAAATTTATAATAAATTAACAACGTGTTCGATAATTAACGTTAATTGGCAGATTGCTAACTTTTGGCCGGTAATGTACGCTCAGCATCGACACGATTGATGCTCGAAACTCGAAAGAACTTCTCAATCTACGATCTCGAAGTTCACTTGTACGTCGAGTTCAAGCGATTTATGTCGGCCCGATTTTTACCGATTCGCGGTACGTGTAGAGAGGAGGATAGGCGAAACGACGAGAGGTACACGTATCCCGTGTGCAAAGAGTTTAATACGAGGTAAATGATCGGCACCGTACACGGTAACTCGTGTAGCCGCGGTTGACCACAGGTGGAACCGCAGCCGCGCCACTTAATTTCACTTTATGCAACATGTATAAATCGCACCTGGCACGTTTCTGCCTAGAGAGTGGCGGCGGAACAGGCTGCCGCCACCGAAACGGAGAGCAAATACCAGAGGTGTATACTATTCTATCGATATTACAGGCGACAACGTGGATTGTTGGATGGAAATTCAACACGGCAAGGGACCCTGGGCACCTCCAGTTTCGGGAATAGTACCGCTTGGCTCTACTCTCACCCTGGTCGTCGCTATAAACGATTATCGAGGTAACACGAGGGAACGAACTGCGAAACGAAACTTTCTCGATGTTCTCCGTAGTTATAACCCGTAGAGCATAAGCGGCGGGATACGCCAGTAAGTTTGGAAACGAGGTTCCCGCGTTAATCTGACTTTTGGTAATTGTATCGATCCAGGGGAGTTCGACATGCGTGTGAAATCATGCGTGGCCTCTGACGGCGGTGGACACACGATACAGTTGAGCGACGAGTTTGGATGCGTGCTCAGGCCAAAGATGATCAGCCGATTCTTGAAGGCGCGAGGCTCCGACGATCGGGCGACAGTCATCACTTATGCCTTCTTCCACGCGTTCAAGTTCCCGGACGCGTTGAGCGTGCATATCAAGTGCAAGGTAAACAACGATGTTGGCTAATGTGAAGCAGACGGGACAGCTTACGATAAAGAAAGGAAAAAGAAAAGAAGTTCGATTACCTGGTTGAAGAAAAATATTATCACTTCTCGCGAATGTATGTAGAGCTGTAAGTGTGCCTTGTGTTAAGCGGTGCTCGTTGAATGGAAAGAGTAAATGTTTGCGATTGAACAGGTGGAAGAGAGGTTTAATGAATTTACACGGTGAAATGACTTGGACTTATTCGTTATGTAAATTCGCTTGTGTATATATATATATATTTGAAAAAAAGAGAGGAGAGAAATGACGACTGGGAACGTCGAAATGATAAGTTGTTTTGATCAATGTCAAGGTCGAGATCTGTCGTCACGGTTGTTTGGATCACTGTCAACTCAGTGGATCCGTTGGCCACTATATTCAAGAGCGTAAGGATCAGCTACGACCGCAATACCCACAGACCACAGTGCCGCCCACCGTTCACAACGACGACAACAACAGTGCCGACAAGAATAACGAAAACGTGGCGGGAGTAGGAGGAGGAGCTGAGCAAAGCGACGGTTCCCTTTACGACGACATCATTCAGGATGGCGATGAAATGACCTCGATAGGGGGTCATTTCTTGGGTGTGGAAAAATCGGTTCCAAAGGCACAAGCGCAGACGAGTAACCGGCTACCAGCGCCGGTAGTGGAGGCACCCAACGAAGAAGTTCATCCTGACGATACTGATCTCTCGGGACCGTTCTTAGTAAATATATACTTTTTTCGAGTCTTACAGTTTGTAGTGTTAAAGAACAAATTATTCGATATCCTCTGACAGTTGAAGAGCGATTGGCAGCTTCCCAAAAGCGAATTTTTATGTAACTTACAAGGTGATTGAAAAGTTAGAGGCCTGAAGATGATACCTAACTTTGGCATTTTTTTTTTAAGAAAATTATTCACTCAACAGAAAACTTTTCATGGGGGCTTTATCATACTGTCCTTGGAGAATGTGAAAGTATTTTTTTCATTTAATTTCTTCGCAAAATGGCGACGCTACAGCTGCATCGCTGAACCTCTATTTTAGATAGACGCTCACTATGTTGTCCTCTGCTGAGACACGATTTGACTGACAAGAAAAGTATCAAAACTTTTCGTCGTCTGCATATCAATTCCAATTAAGAAGTACACAGGATTTAAAAAAAAAAAACAAAGCATCGAGTATTACAAACGATATATTAGCTACAAAAATTCACTTTCCTTTAGAAACTTGCTGACGGGTCATTTTTGACCCGGTTCATCCTTCCAGTATTAAACATATCACTAACGAAGATAGAAACGAGAAGATTCAAGCCCAGCGATAAATTCCCTTCATCCACAAGCAGACTGGAATAATTCTCCCGTTCATACAAATTATCACGTTCACTTTCAGGATCCTCCGAGGGTGACACGATACGAGAGCGAGCAAGATCAATTCCCTCACGGACCGCGTAATCTCGAGGAAGACAGCGCCGCGATACCAATGACACCTCTCTCGTCTCCGAACGGCAGACGAAAGAGATCGGTGGTGGTGTCCGATAGGAAAATCCGCAGCGCCGACGTTGGCGTGAGCGGTTTGTACGAGGTGATCTCGGAGGCTGATCTAGCGTTTAGCCCGGACACTCACGCGGAAGCTGTGACAGTCTTCCAAGGTAGAATACGCGAAGAAGTGGTATACGGTATCTGTCTGCCGATGCCAGGTTTCAGCGCGCTGTTCATCGTCGTGGCGTTATCCGCGGTGATATCCGCTCTGGTCGCCGGAGCGATGCTCCATCGGCTGCAAGCTCAACGCGAGGCGGTCGACAGCAGGAAGAACAATAGGGCGGTGCATTCTACAAACGGCTGGCTACCATACGGGTTGTTGCGCGTTCGCTGCACGACGAGACCAGCTCCACCTCATCCGGAACAAATTCAACAAAAACAAACGAGTCCGGTCGTCACGAGTCCCTCGGTAGAGAGAGGCTGACGATTCGCGTGACTTTTGTGACCAGTAGTAGTAGTGGTTAGCGGCTGTGTTACGCTCCATGAAAGACAAATGTGCAATAATAACGCTGTACAAAGTATTTTAAGTGCGTAAAGTCACGCGCCACAGGTTTCTCTGTTATACGAACGATAACCGGAGACGATCGTGTTTTATTCGAGAGAGAGTGAGAGATTGAGAGAGAGAGAGAGAGAGAGAGAGAGAGAGAATGTTCGGCCAGTGTGCTTTTTTTTCTCAAATCGAGCCGAACGAACTTCCTCCGTGACGAAAATTCTCCTGTAGATTTTTGAATCAGGAC